GGCCCCCCGCCTCCCGCCGCCGTCGGTTGGGCTGCTCACGCCTCACAGCCCTGGCGGGCCCGGGCCGGCGTCGGGGCTTGGTGCTGTCGGAGTCTTTGCACGGAGTAGATCCCTTTCGCACCCAGCCCGCGACTTAGGAGGGGACGAGGGGGTTTAGTGAGAGGGGTGCCAGGGTGGGCTGCTGTAGCTGGGGAGGACGAGTCTGGGTGAGAAGGGCCTGCGAGTCGCCAGCCTGGGCGTTGCCATTGAGGCTGTGTTTTGGGGACAAGGTGAGTGCAGGGGACAGTGGGTTTGGCGTCAGGCTTCTGCCAGGTGCTGACACAAATGTTCTTCCCAAGTGACGAGTTGGATCTGATTTCATCGGGAAAAAAAAAAAAAAATCACTAGGTTATTTTTCATCTGAGACCTGTTCCTTAACCTTGTTTCCGTGATTGCCCAAATGCTTTTATTCACACATTAAGGGGAGAACAGGAGCATATGGTGTGAAGGATGAAAAGTGGAAACTAAAGCTATAGTTTTAGATGTAGTGAACGAGGCTTGTTAGACTCCTCTTGTGACTGGAAAATAAGAGGAGATGGAGGAGAACTAAATGTAGATGTCCACACCATTGCAAGGGCAGTGCCTGTGTTGGAAAGAAATAGCTACTGGTAGAAATAATCAGGAAACTTTACTGAGCTGGTCCCACATCACTGCTTGTTAGAGGAGTTCCTCTGTTCTGAGCTGTCTTGAAACAGGTCTCACTGCATGCAGATTACCCAGTTCCCTTCAAAGAATATGGTCTGTCCACATACCTAAGGCCTCCTCTCTCCTAACGTCTTTCTGGTAATAAATTGTTGTTATGATATGAATACCACATTCCAGCTGAAATATTTCCATCTGAGCACTAACACAAAAAGAGAAATGAGTTATAAAGATGTACATATTAGAATCCAGACAAAACTGTAATATACCTTGAAAAACAATGTAGTAAAGGAGCAAAATACCAAGACACTTTGCACCCTAGACTTTTAAGTGGGCAACTTGGAAAGGCCTTACCATCAAATTCCTTGCTGTCAGATAGATGCCAATCAGTGCTTCTGCTACAGACACCCTCCTTGCTATAGTCTCTTCTCTGAACTCTTTTTGGCCTGCTTTTTTGATAGCTAGCCTTCTAAATTAGGAGATGAAAATAATGTTCAAGAGTGTAGCAGCATCTCATTTATTAACTCCCCTTCTGTTCCTCATATTACAAAATAAATGGCACAAAATACATCCTGAAGAATAGGTGTGACTTTCAGAATCATCCTTATTCTGGATTTTTTTTGCCTTTTGCCAAGTTCATCTTACTTGATGGAAGTACAGAGAAATTTCTCAAAGAAAATCCATAAAACAATTAGTAAGGGACTTGAGTGTCTTTCATACTTCTTTGTAGCTTCCTTAGTCAATGCTACAGCATCCTAACACGTGTATGCGTAAGAGGCAAACATGCTTCCAGCACGTGCTGTTCCTGCGGAACAATGCCAGGTTGTGTGCTGAGAGCAGCATTAATGAAGGAAACAGCTACTGCTGTTAACAGCAACTACATTGTAGGATTTTGTTGTGACTGTACATTGTGCAAAAAGTGAGGAGACTGAAGTCTTTGTAATGTTTGCATTGCTGCTGTTGTTGCTTTCTTTGTGGAGAAGCATGAGGCACATAATTGAAATTAGAAATAATGATGGTGCAGTGTTTCATTAAAAGCATGACTATCAAAATCCTCACATCAGTGATATGAATGTGATCTAAACTATGTCACTTTTGGTACATTTTTGTGGGCTGAATCAAGAACATATTTAGATGCCTAGAATGATAGTTTGGTAATAATAGGTTTTTTTTAATCATAGGCTGTTTGTACTTGAGTACAAAAACTTAAGCACGTTTCTCAGTGTTGCGGTATGGGAATGTAACTCATAATGCCCTGGGACTCAAAAGTTGTGTAGAAATGAAGTGCATGTAGGGGACCAAGCTCACAACAGTTTCTTGAACAGATTTGGCAGTGGCTACCAAGGCACAGCTACAGGATATAGCTGTGACACTATGATAACAAAGCCTAACAGAGTTGTGAAATCCCTTTATGCACAGAGGTCCAGTTGTCAGTTATCATCAAGGTCACCTAGTTGAAGATAAGCCTTGCTTGCAGCTGCCTACTCAGGGACAGTCTTGTTGTTTTGGAAACTGCACCCTTGAGATAGCTGTGTCCTGAAAAGGAGGAGCTCATGCAGAGCTGTGGGAATATCCAGGGACATTGAATATCCTAAGCCTAGATACCTATGTCTCGATATTAGCAGGCTAGTGAGAGGAAGGAGGGGACACTGCTGGTGGCAAACGTAGATCCAGGATGAGAATGTTGCAGGAGGGTAGCTGTTTGGCACAGTTGTGGCTGTTAGACTCCTGGCTTTGATTTGCAGCTATTGCCATGAACTGTCATTTAGATTGTGCAGCTAGCTCTCACCTAATGTTCTATCTGCAGCTGTTGCATGAACAATTATGGAGGTTCAGTCCTTGTATGTGAAATTTTTTTTAAAAAAAAGACCCCTCTCCCCACTATTATTACTACCAGCAACATAGTTCAAAGGCAAAAAAAACTTACAGAAAGACTGTTAGTGAGGCATGGTCATAGTCAATGGCATGAAGTTTTTGCCAGCCTGCTTTAAGACGCAGGCATTATGTCATATAAACCACAGAAGGTGTGTGACAGTGCATGAGCATCTGTGTTACGTATATCAAAATATCCTTATTAAGCCATGTTGACTTCTTAAAACTGGTTATGCAACAAACGAGTCCTCTACCTTGCGGATTTCTGCTGCTGAAATTTGAAGATTGCCATAAATTAGCCTGTTATTTAACCTGCCTGTTTTATTAGTCGTTCTTTGACCCACCAAAAATGGCCTTCTTCATTAAGAACAGATCCATCTAAACAGAACAAGGTAGGGCAAATACTGAACTCATTTTCCTATAGACCATCTACAGAGATGATTTCAGAGAGTGAGTTATAATGGTTGGTAACATCCTTAAAGATGAAATCTAAAGAAATATCAAATTATTAATATCAGAAATTTGGAAGAAAAAACAGTAAAAGGGAAGTTATTTGCTATAACACCACAGGAAAATCTTATGTATTTGAAAAGGAAAAGGAAAAAAAAAAACAAAATCAGTGGATTAAGTGCTAAGGCTAGTCAGCTGCAAAGCCATGAGTTTTAATAAAGCACAGAGAAAAATCACTCTCATTATTGCAGACATTTTCTGAATTCAGTCAAGAGAGATGGAAGGAGTATTCCTGTGAAGAGACTGTTAGAAAGAAGAAGAACAGTTTATTCTATTGTTACTGCAAAATCAAAGTCAGCAAAATATGACCTGAAATACTGGGACAATACTCCTTTACAATAGCTGGACTCCATGATTTTACCACACAAAACAATGACTCTGGAATAGACCAGTACAGTTCTTTTGGGTTAATTGTTACGTTTATACTCACTTTTCTGTCAAATTTCTTTTTTATTTTTATACCCAGCTACAGTTAAATAGAACAAAAAGCTAATTCTGAGCAAAGAAAGTGCAAGTAATAAAATTAATTGGATACATTCCACCTCTTTTTCCTAGTAACCAATTATTCACAAATGGTCACAAAATAATTTGGGAACATTATTTACCGTTTGATAATTTGTACATTTCTGCAATTAATAATTATTGGTTTCAGATCATTCTCTAATTACCTGTAAATACTCACCATCCAGTGGTGTGTCATTTCACACAAGTCACACGGTACTGTTCTCAGTTTCTCACTGGACAATTTACGTAACTAGCTGGCAATACAAGCCAATAGTGTTAGAACTCAGTTTCCTGAGTTTTGCAATAGAGTTTGGCAATAATGTTTCTGGGTTTTTTTCAGTGGATGAACTGAACAACTGACACATTTTTATTCTGAATTTTGGAAATG